AAATATTTCTTTTGACAAGTATCAACGAATGAAAATTTCTAATTTTGTAAAGTCCATATCGTTTTCGGGTAGGTATATTGGAACCTATAAAAATATGCACTAAAATTTGTTGAAACGTTCGAAAAGTTATTTCCAATTATTCGGTTCCATACTAAATATCCTAAAACTAACGAAGTTAAAAAAGAAACAACTCATTACGAATTTCTACAGCGGGTTGATTTTTAGAAGCGACCTAGTCTTCGGTTATATTTCAGACGATATTCTAATACGTTCCCTTATCACGTATCTAAATAGCGAGTGGATTATGGCAGATTGAAAAGTTTTTCAAAAAATGAAAATGTTTAGGAAAAACAAAAATAGATGGAGAATCTAGTTAATTTATTTCCGTTTGTGCCATAAATACATTTTTATAAAATATCTAAGTTAATATTATAAGTATTCTTTGATTTTTCTCTTTTTATCTGATACAGAGCCCTCAGAAGGAGGAAAGAAATAAAAAAATAATCATATCCAAATATCTTCTGAACAGTAATAAAAGAGAATTAAAAAAAATAAAGTGATTTAATAATTATATTATAAAGTTACAAATAAAAGTACATAAATGAGATGATTGAGTTATTAGTAAATTATAACAATCATGCATTTGAAAGGTGCTTTAGTTTTCCCTAGCACTCCTAACTATTAATTTTAATCAATTATTCACAGAAATTTTAAATTACAGTACGATAGCGGAAAGCAATTCCATTACACGTATTTAAGACCCTGATACATTATTAACCGATTCACTAACCTTAGGCTGACTTTGCCGGATTTAAGGCTGTGACATCATTAAGTTATTTAGAAACATTGATACAATACTCCGCGACGATTGCTCTCTGTTTTCTTTTTAAATATATACTACTAGCCTAATGACCCGACCCGGCTTCGCGCTGGTGCAATGTATTATACATATAAGCCTTCCTCTTGAATCACTCTATCTAGTAAAACACCCGCATCAAGATCTGTTGCGTAGTTTCAAAGATCTAATCATACATAGGGATAGACAGACAGCGGGACGACTTTGTTTTATACTATGTAGTGATTTCTATACAATCGTTTCTTCTTAGATTACATAAAATGTTAGCATTTGATTTATTTTTCGTGCAAGCGATTACTTCTTGTTCCGGAATAGTTTGAGGAGTCCTAAAGGAAACTGGAAAGGAAATAATGCGATTACTTGTTTGACAAATGTTAGAGTTCGAACCATTAGCGTTGAAGCAAGTTTTCTTCAGTCGAACTTAGAGACATTTTTACTGGCCAGTTTTTTTGACGTGTTTAATTGACTACCACCTCAGCTGATGGCAAGTAATGATGTAGTCTAAGATGGTAAGTGATGATGGGGGAATGATGTAGTCTAAGACGATAAACGCGTTAGCTCAGAAATAATACCTGTCCACTACTCTACCTATATTCTCACATTGTACTCGGACGAGAAGAGTTAATTTTCAAGTGTGGTCTCCGATTTTTGTTTGAGATTTTGAGTTTGTGAAACCATCAAAATTAAATGCCATACGGGCTTCATAACAATTTATGAAATAGACGAAAAGTTTTTCACCGCTGCGGCCAATCGAACTTTTCGTCCATATTTTCTATAAATTTTAATGTTTCGCATTAAGTGCAGAAATTAGCACTATAAAAATTTAAATTACAAACGGCTTCGTTCATGTTTTGGTAGTTCTAAAAACATTAGCATATTATATATATCAAACATTTTGCAACGATTCATTGTTGTCATTATTTCATATTTGAAAACAATTCATGATTGCAGAAAGTTAGTTTTTGTTTTTCCCTTCCACATAGATATGTTCAATATATATAATTTAATTGCCTGTCTTGCTTCTCAGCTTTAGCTCTTTTACTAAATGTACAATGGTTGATATTTATTATAAAGCTATAATTTCCCTGAGTTTTTATATTTATATTTACAAACGATGCGATGGACGTATGCCCTACAATATGTATAGAAATCGAGAATTTTCTATCATCTGCATCATCATCATTTCGGCATGTTGCAGTCCACTGCTGAACATATGCCTCCTCCACAGCCGCCATAATTCATGATCTTGAGCCACCTGTATCCATCGACTTCCCGCACACTTGTATAATTCGTCACTCTATCTAGTAGTTCTACACTGCGATGGCCAGTTCTGCCACTCCAGAACCTTTCTTCTCAATCGGTTACCGGTTCTACGAGCTATATGGCCCATTGCCACTTCAGCTTATTAATCTTCCGAGCTGTATCGGTTTCAATCTGTACCGATTCACTTTGTTTTTCTGCGTATATTTCGGTGCGAAATCGATAGCTTACTGAGCGTCTCTAAGCTACCTCATACGTATCGGTTTGAAGCACCAGATCTGGGTTCCATAAGTCACTACTGGCAACACAGATTGATTGAAGACTTTAAACATTAGTCTTCACATTGAGGGATATTCTACGAGAAGATATAACGAAGTATCCCAATCGCTACCCATCCGAGTTGGATTCGCCAATTGACCTCTGCGATCTTCGATAAGGGCAGTAGAAAGAAGAGTACTTTATGACCACATGTGCTTGCAGAGCGTTGTGGGTGAAGGTTTTCAGGTTTTGATACAAATCAACTGACTAGCTAAGCAACCGTCTAAACAGTTTTCTATTTCCTATAACAACCATTGTATAGATTCTTTTGTATAATCCAAAAGAACGGGGCAAAAGTACGGTATTTACGCCACGCCCGCATTTTAACGTTGAATTTTACCTACATTTTTTCGCAGCTCTACTCCTAACTCTAAACTCGGGGGTTTTTCTTTTCAATTTTTTTTCCTTCGCAACAAAAACAAAATCCATCCGAAATCGGCCCCGCAGTTTTTGTGCCAACTGGAATATACAGACAGCGGTAGCTGTGTCGGAAAAATACAAAAGTTATCGAAGAGTTATTATGGAAATTGCGGAGGAGCTAACTGCGTATCCCAATATTTAGTTTTTATATACCTTATATAAGTACAAGGGATTATATACTTTTTGAAGTTATACTCTCTTTGGCGTAACTTATAAAAGCGCATATCGACAGCCAAAAAGCGACTTAATGAAGTCGATTGCAATGCGACCAACATCACGGTATTACCGTTACCATCGCAACTGATAACAATTTTTTGACACTCCAAGTTTTTCAATGAAACCGTTATCAAATGCATTTAAGTATCCTTCTTACGGTCTTATTATCTATGTCTTCAAACTGAAAAATCGACTTCGAGCAAAAAGGTTTTATGAATAGAGAAGGTAACGAGCGTGTAGGCGGTTCACGCAATGTCAACTAATTACCTAAGTAATTATTATAGCAACTATGAGATAATTGATTGCTTTCAATTTATAAAAGAAAACTAAATACTATAACTAATTTACCAGACGAAAAAGGCAAAAGTACAAATACTTCCACTGCACGCCAGTCTTCTGAGGGCTGCCCATTCGTGCAAAAAAGCTGCTTCGTGTCTCTCCACCAGTAAAAGGTTTATAGTGTAATAATACTACCTATAGCAGATAGCAGAGCATATACTATTTTTTTTTCATTCCCTCCTAGTTTTATTCGCGTGGCACGATTTTATTCAACACCAGATTTGTCGTTATTTACACAAAACGTTTTGAAATTATCACCTAATGCTTCCTAATGAATCACTCCGTATGTAGCTACAATCCAACCAAATCCAACCAATAGTTCTTCAGTATTTCTCGTACAAACAGACAGACAGACGCGCCGGGGTGATTTGATGTTGTATTATATTATTAGAAAAATATCGTGGACGAATGCTTTTGAGTAGGCATTATACTTCAATTTTATATTGAATACTGTTGAGAAATAGAGTACTAAAGAGTTGCACATGTACGGTTACGCTCGCGTGTCATCTTATTAAATCAAACGTTTACTAAAACGTAAGAAAAAAGAAATTTAACAGGACAAGCGTGTGTCGTAAGATCAAAAAGTACACGAAGACTAAGAGATGTAGCGGGAAATAGGTACGGATAATTTGCATCTTATGGTATAAGTATTATTTCGATCGGTACAGTACCTAGTTTACGTAGTATAAGCGAACAAACAAACTATGCATTTATTACTACAGATTGTTATTTCGTTTACTATCTTTTAATTTCATACGTCAAGTAGTAAAGATAATTGGTGCAAGACACAGTTTTAATGTTGGTGTTCAAGAAGTTAGCGTTTTCATGTTTTTGATAAGGCTAACCGCTGAACAGGAATTATTAAAAATTTGTATTATAGGTGTTTATTAAACTGTAACGAGCATTATATTTACGCACCTAATATAAACCCTTAAAATTTTCTGCGTCCGATGAAGCTTTAATAGTCTCGGGACTGAAAGCAAAAACATCAGTTAATACAAGATACCCTTAAAATTTTAAAGTGAATAGTTTGAGATTTTATTACGAACTTTCGCGATTATCAATAAATATTTACATTTTTTGTGTGTTGAAAGAAGTTCTGTGATTGTGGAAACAAAATAACTATAAGTTTGTTATAAGTTAAGTCCTAACTCCATTATTTTTTCCAAGCATTATCGACAATCACCAACACAATGTAAAAAATTCAAAGTAACCTATGCGAGTTGGATTTTGTTATGGCATACTGAAATTATTTCGTATTTCACACATAAACGTTGACAGTTTTGTCTGCATACGTCCTACAATTTCCAGGGCGTCGTCCAGGTATTAGCCATAAAACCGGACTGTTATGGTGCAGCACGCGGCGGTCCGTCGAAACGGCGCGCCGGATTCGAACGGACCACCGGGGCGATGCGCCGCATCGCAATCGCCGCGCGACAGCCCATTGTCCAGTTACGCGGACACCCCCGAAAATACGGCACGCGAAAAAAGCCATCGACGCCGCCACCCTCGCGTTAATGTCGCCCCCCACGCCGCGCACTAACCGTTCTCTTTTTTTTAATACATAACTTTTTTTCAAGATGCATTTTTACATGTTTCGGCCTAAAACTTTACACACCCAACGAGTGGAGCGGTAACGCCTATCGCGGGTCGGGCCTCTCGCTCGCACGCGCCGGAAGCGGCCGCCGGCCGATAGTGGCGCGAGCGAAACGACCGTACGCCGCGCGGGGGCCGGCGCTCCGTCTTGTGCCGAGATTAAGGCGCACCGGTCTCCACGGGCGCCGGACCCTTGACCGTAAAACGTCCGCCGCGTCCCACTATGCCCGACACCCAAGACGGTCCACGCGTGAACCGAAAACAACAGCGGGACCGGCGCGTAGCAAATGAGCCGCACCGCTATACGTCTCACTCTAGCGTCCGGCGAAGGCACCCGCGCCCACGACAATTGAGTTGAGTTGAATTGAATTGAGTCGGTCAAATCGTAAAAATGGCACGGGCGGGCTAGCCGCGCGAGAGAGAGACGCACGGAAGGCGGGTTGGCCGAGAGCGCAGCCTTCTTCGCCTCGACTTACGCCGTGCCGCGGCTAGTGAACGTCGGCGTTCTGACGTGGACGGCCGTATCTGCGCCCGCTCGCGTGCCTACCCGCCACAGTCAAAAAAACGTTTCGCGCGTCTTTTTGACAGCCGATTGGAAACTTTTCTCGTGCGTTCGGAATTCGGACTTGCCGCCAGTGCTGTTTTCGGTTGCCGCGGAATTATCTGGAGAAGTATTTTGTGTGTTTTAATTATCGGCTCGCTTTGGCCGTTGAGACGTTGTAAAGTGATGAATCAGCGAACGCCGGCTAATTAACCGCGTGCTACAACAAAAACAAAACCCGAACGCCTTAACTGCCGTGGAGTATTGTAAGTATCGTTATAGTGTTAACAAGCGACAAGTTTAGTAAACTATTTTTTCAAATTAATCAGTGCCTTATTAATACTGCAAATTTATTAAAATTTAATAAAATTTTAATGTTTTGCAATAATTATTACACTAAATAATAGTCATACAGAACCAAAACAAGTAAATTGTGTCCCAGTTATTGAATAAAAAGAGTTAAAAAAATGCGTCATTCTATTTTTGAAAAAAAAAAAAAAAACTAAAATGTCCTAATTACCGCATTAAATTAAAGACCGAATGCGTAATGAACATAGATAATTTCTGAAATTATCGCCTTTTAGACACTTTTCTACGAAGTGGTGGCGTGGAATGGGGAAAAAAAAGTTTTTTTTCGTCGCGATAAAGTGCAAAAGGTGTTTACGGGGCGGGGCGAGCGCGCTACAAACAGCTGATTGGTTCGAACACGTCATGTGTTCGGTTTCTCGTAGGTATTCCACACATATTTGTTTAAATATTTCCCGAACGTCCATCGGATGGCTTTATTTAAACGCGCGTACATAGCGGCGGAGCGAGAAAACCCAAACGAACGCATAGACTTGCCTACAGGAAACGCTATTTAGTATGTAGAAATCGTTATCACGTGTTTTACGATATTAATTTAGTGGTCAGCGATTATTTAAATATCTAAGCTTCTTGAAGAGAACGTGTTGTATTAAGAAACTTGAGGTATTTAAAACTTTTGTTTGACTTACACTTTCGGTTAACGATACGTCTAATATAGAATAATTATTTTATTTACTAGTATAATCCATCATTTATGAAACTGAATTTCCAGCATATCAATAAAATCAAGGCGTTCCAATTGTACTTACATTTTTTTTATAAATCGATTGAAATACAGTCAAACAATTTAAAAGTCAAAACTAACTTAACCATTTTTCATAAATTATGAACAAAATATTCAATACGGTAATGTCAACTGATAGATCTTAAGTCTATAACAAATCTTTATAATTTCTAATTTTCTTATTTTTCCTTTTTTCTAAAAGATACAAGATAATTTTTTAGTTAAGTAAGTTTCTATCTACTAGAATTTATGTGTGTTTTATAGTGTTGTGTTTACCTGTAATGCAAATATGTTTATACATTTTAATAAATTTATGATAAAGTTAAACCTATTTGTATGTCCGTGTTCTATATGTATTAAGATGGTAAGCGTAAATAAATAACTAAATTGAAATGTCAATCAAAATACTTGCTATTCAAATAGTACTACTATTCATAACAGACGTGTCACTACAAAGCGACTGTTCACATCGCGGCCCCCCTAACATCCTTAATTCCTTAACGACTTGACATGTCATTGATGCTCTACCCACCCCACAAAAGGATAATACAAGCAACAAGAAAGCTAGGTCCCGACATTAGTCTATTGACCAATTAATGACATAATAGCTAGGGTTCAATGAAAAATGTGTCCTTCATATTTTATAATATCAGTCAACTGCAATTCGATATGATTAAATTAATTGATTGAATCATATCCAATATTTGCCACAATAGTTATTACAACTGAAATATTGTCAAAACTATGTATACGTAAGTGCGCTCAGCAAAAATTACAATCTCCATAAATTTTTATATGCCTACAGAATTAATTTATATACCTACGATAAAACGTACTATTTTCGTAATATTTATAAATAAAATCTTAGTGCAGTCAACATTTGCAGCAGCGATTGGCACATTGAGTATTTTAAGTGTATGGTGTGTTGAGAATAAGGAATATTAGCTCGATGTGTAATAGTATCCATAAAATAGAATACCCTAAGATGGCGTTACTGTACCATTAGTTCTACATTTCAAAGAAAGCGCTGAAAAGTTTTATAACATTCGCTACACTACGTATCATAAAACCATTCAGTTCTTTCTCCTATGTTAGCGCCAATCAGTTAATTTATAAGAGTCTTTATTGTATATTATTGAACATTTTTTCATAAAAGTCACGTATAACAAAATCCTTACTGAAAACGAAATATATGCTTACACATATTGTCTATGAAAGTATTTTAGTGTACTAAACTTATAGATTCAATTAGAATTTTTATGGTCTATGGATTTCGTTTCGGAACTTCATTTGCACCCCACATGATCGGTCAAATGACTCAAATGTAATAACCCGCGAGAGGGACGTCAACCCCTATCTAAACGAGTTGTACGTCGTTTTTGATTTCGAAAAATTTGTCAAATACGTAAAATTTTTGTGAATCATTTATTTGCCATGTAAGTGTTACTTTAAAAAATGTAAATTAACCCTTGTATGTAATGATTAATAGTATTTAAAATTAATCAATTAGTAACTAACTTAAAAAATCCGAAAGCTTTGTAAAATCAGTGTCTTTTCATAAAGTACCTATCATTCACTACATCGCCTATCACATAAAACCATGTCAAATAAAGACTGTGACTCACTAACTAATGTGGCCGACTCAATCGTCCTGAATCAGACATTTTAATTACACGCTGGAATCATTGCGTATCTTAGACGCATTGTCAGAACACGTTTGACAAATGTCAATAAATTTTCCCGCCATGCGGCCGCGTGGCGTTTGCCCTACATTTTGTGTTTACGCGGTTCGGTTTTTTAAACATTAAGACGTTTCGAGTGGAAACATCGCGCCATTTTACGACAGTGAATACCGTCTGACATCAACTTTTATAACCGTTCGAACAATTACGTCTAATCAGAGCCTCACCCGTCCCGCTCGAGGCAAGCGCGCGCGCCGTGCGTGTGAGCGGGACGAGCACAAACACTCCGCTACGCCCATCAATGTCTAATTGCTTTTATTATTTTAAGGCATCGTAATCATTATGGCCGCAATAAAAATTGTAATTACTTCTCATTAGTTCAATTAAGAATTTTCTAGACACGGTATAGTTGATATGTTGATTGCGAAACGGTACGATCTAGTGATGCATTGTGTTGAGAAAGCGGCGTTTTATTGCTATTACTTCAGTAACTAGGGAATTGTCTATACGTGAAATCCAATGTCGATAATCGATAAACTTTACGAGCGTTAGACATGGCTTATATCAATCAATATTAACGATCGACCCGAAATACGGAACTAATCGATGTATTTTAATTTTTAATATCCATAAGTTACGAATGTTCCAGAACTGTTGAGAGTTGCCGACCGCCGCGGCAGAGCGTTCCCCGCCGGCCTATTAGACGGCTATTCGAATTTTGAAAATTAGAATTATTAAATGTTTTTTTTAATGTAAAACGATCGTGTGCAGACCATCTACCTACATTGTTCACAGAATGTTCTTCTATTTTTAAATAATATTTTGTTCGAACTCACCAAAATTCCTGATTAATGTTCATTAATAAATCGCAGTATAATTGAATTTTAAAAACTTGACCTTAACAGAGATCAGAAACATGAGTCAAATCGCTTTAATATCAAATCATCATTAAAACGGTAATGGCAATTTCTCACCACCAATGCTAATTCAATTTTTATTTTAACTGCGTTCTATTGCGTATTATGAGTATTAAAAGTCAATATCAAAACGTTTCCAGCAGGCTAAAATTGAATTTACGGCATTTGCATAAACATTACAGTCGAATGTTTTTGTAACCGATCTTAAGCAGTTGCCTTGCTAAATTAAGCCGAACGAATTCTGTCGGTTCTAAAAGTTTAATATAGAAAATAGAAACACAATTTTAGGCGAGCAAAATACACCCAAAACTGCTAAGAACGATACAGTGTATTAGTAAAGACAGCAAGGCCAAAGGTAAACGCATCCAAACTGTCACTAGATAGAACAGATAAAACATACAAAACGACTTTGAAAACGGAACAGATAAAAAGGGCGGAAGAAAGTTAGCGGACGCCATTGACGGCGAGAAAAACTCGCGCCAAAAGTTTCGAGCACGTGACTAACACGTGGTCTTGGGTGAAAAATCGCGCAAGCCCCGTGCTCCTTGCGCGCTGCCGCCCCTCCTAAGGACTCGGCTCGGCCGCAGTGACGCGCGGAAGCGGTTGCGGTAGCGGGAAGCGGGCGGCTTTCATCTTCTTCAGCTATCTTCGTTTTCCTCAAGTCGTTCGATTTTTTCATGTATTTTTGGACATAATTTTACTACGTTATCCAATTTTACTGATACTTTTTGAGATATATTATCATTATCATGTTAATTGGGTCACTATTACATGTTGACGTTAATGAGGAAAGCTGTAGAAAGCTGAGCTAGTTTTTTTACTATAGGGAATTAGCGGTGTTTAAACTTTTTTCTTTTAAAATAAAATATGAAGAACCGATTTTTTTACATCCGCTATAATCACTAAGAGCAACCGTTTATTCCTAAATCTGTCGTAATGCAATGTTGACGTTTGGTTTTTACAAAAGTATTTCCGTCGAGTGTTTGTTTCTTGGAATAAATATTTACACTTTTTCCCTCCGTTTTATTCATGGTCATATACATTTATGAAGTAGGTACCTCTAAACGGTTACTAAAACTACAAAAGTTGTTTAACATTTTTCTCATTTTTAATGTACTTCAATGCATTTAGGGCGTGATAGAATCTCCTATTTTGTATTTTTGGACAGATTCACAAATTATTTTAAATACGTACGTGTTGTAATTCCTATAATAATTGTATCTTTATGTATTTATTCCGATGGACAATATTCAGTTTGAATGTTAGTTGTATTATTTATATTTATTTATAGAATTATAGAATAAGACGATTGGCATTTTTGGCTATACTCGCAGAGGGTTTGCGTGTACTTACGCCCGGTTTTAACACACTGATGATCGTAGGAGTTAACTAATCAGCTGTCAAATGGCTTTACAAATGTTATTTAAGTTGCCAAAAGGATGGTTAAACTCTTTGATCATTCCGACCATTAAGAAAGATCTTCTACGATAATTAGTGTTTCTGAAACCGGGCGTCAATGTTGTTATAACAAGCGTTGTCTCTTTCACAAATGCCAATCGATTTATGCGGTTATACAATAGAACTAGCTGTACACTAAAGTTCATTTTTCCGTGGCAGTGTCCTGAACGGGAGCGGCAGGCGTCAAGCTGTTTTACCCTTACCTGAAGACGTCTTCCCTCCACAGGGACTTCCTGTTCGCCAGTGGCTCTGGTAAGTTGGCCAACGCAGTATTCACACCGCACCTATTTCCTAGAACATACCGCGTTTAGGCGACAACATTACGTGTTCTAATATTCACGCAAATGCCACACTAACGACGCATTCGAACCTAACTTTTCGTGTCTAATTTTCCTTGTAAGCATTTCGCGCAATGTCCTGTGGTCAAGCGCTGTCATATCACGGTAAGGACTGTGCCGGTCGTTCTGATGTCTTTGTGGTCCGTTGATTAACGCTGAAGTTAAAATTAACAACGATAAAGTATCAAAAAGTGGACGCGATTGAATCTGTATCACTTAAAATGGTTAATTTGAACGCTTCCAATAATCTACATCCGCGTATGTGTACAATGCATACATCGTAAATAATTTTGAACGCATTTTTTAGAGGATGTAGTCCGCTCAAATCCCATTCAGATTGGAAAATACGTTTCCAATAAAATGTTTCCTTTTTTTGAAGTTATACATATTATACTATAAAATCATGAGAGTAAATTTTTTACGATGCGCGCGCACACCTTACCCTCAAAAAACGACGTGGTTACAACAACTTTTAGGCATTTATCAATAATTCCAAGGTAATTAAATAAACCGTTATCAATTTCATGTCTTTATGCCAAAGAAATATAATTTGTTCATGGGCGGCGATAATCACTTACCTACCATCAGGTCAGCCTCCTGCTCGTTTGCCCCTTTTCTCCATAAAAAAAGTATAAATTGTCACGTGCGTACATAAGTACACACATACTTTTTTTCTTTAACAGTCTTACTCATGATTATTTTCTTCACTGAGAATACTCGTCATTTGAACCTAGGTTGCTAGAGTGTTGCATATTCGATCATACAGGCATATGAATATAAAATACAAACATCAACTATATAACTGAGCAAAAACAATTGAGTTACACAAATGATAAGAAAGGGAAATGGGTAAAGGGAATTGAACGCTCGCGAATAATTAACATATTCGACTTATCTTTATTTCTTTGAGGCAACACCAATGCCTCCCAGAAGAAAATGGCACAATTTGCGATACGTTGTGTTTATTCTTATACATGAAGACACGGTACGAGTTTGGCGGGAAAAGGAAGTAACTACTGTAAATACTCAAAACAATATTTAGAAACATATAACAACTTAATTACTGTGTAAGTCACACTGTCGCAACTGACAATAAATCGTAAAAAAAGATAAGAATCTCAAAATAAAACTTAGCAATACATATGTACCTACACTGTCACTATGTTCGGTTAATTGATACAGTTATTTAAGTGCTACCAACATAACGATATGACGGGCTCAAAAACATAAATAACAAGTTGCCGTTTCCGGTTGGTACATCTGTGAAGTGTTTTAAGTCTTACCTTCCTCTTTAGCCACGCAGTAAAAGTGCCCATAAAAACTATTAACTGAGAATTATGTGTATTTGTTTTTCGCTATAACGAGTGATTCTTATCGCTTCGAGATTATGGTACTACGTAATATTTAGAGTGATCGTTAAAAAAAGCATCTAATCGATTTAAGGGTTTTGAAGGAGCCGTTACCGTGGTACAAAGTAATGTAATAGAAGTCCGTACAGCGTTACGATATCCATCTTAAAAAAGTTTATTGGCATTCGTCTATTAAAGGCGTTAAGCAGTAGTTTATTGTTATTACCTCAAATGTTTTGCTACAATATCGTTGATGATATAGCAACATTCAAACGAGAGTGTTAAGAAAGCAATAATTATTAAGCAATATTTATTATTAATTCAATAGGAAAGCAATAATGAGCATAGTTTTTATCTTCACTAATCTCCTTAATAACATAAAAATCTCTTATTATAGAACAAAGTAGACATTTTGAATTTATTGATATTTAAATGTTTATTATTTAAATGTTTTGTCAATGCTTTTTTTATAAAAATAAATAAATAAAAAAATCTTTAATAATCTCAGATCGTAATACTGAAATGAATCATCATAATCGCTTTTTTTATACTTTTTATAGTTCAACCTCTTTATACCACTTCAGTGGTATATACTCAAGCAAACCTAAGTCATATAAAAGCAGAGGTTAATGCAGTTACGTCACTAAACTGGTATTATTATAAGATAACAAAGCTGTGTACGCGTCGTAAGATCCTGCCTTCGACCAGCATTCAAACCGAAACCCAAAGTACATTAAGTGAAAACTTTATGGGACGCGATTATAGACAATATTGCCAAAACTGCTTAGGTACTCTGCGCTCGAAACAATAAGTCCATTCGTTGCCAAAGTACTATTTCTAATTATTTACGCAGCAGCACTCCGTCTCTTTGGCAGCCATTTAAACACGCATAACCCGCACAGCCTCTTGAATAGCGACCGTCTCGAAGTCTGTTGCTGGAGAACGGACAATGCAATACAAATCATGAGCATTTTTTGTGAGCATGGCGCTTCACGTGATTTTAAGTGATAAGTGCCACCCATGGACGATTGCAACACCCGCATGGTTGCATATCAGTTGCCACATTTTAATAAAATAGGCCCCAGCTACGGCATTCACCAGAAAAAACGCAAAATGAACACTTCAACTTCACGCCGTCTTCTGTCAGTTCGTGGTACTTCACTGGACGGACCAGCCTATTCGTGCAACACACAATTGCGTGGCCCTTATCAAAGACAAACGTTGCTTCAAATGCTAAATAACAATGTAGAAAGAAGGCGTTAAGATTTTCGTCGCTGTGGCTATCAGCCGTTTAGCTCAGTGGCTAGAGCGTCAGGCCGCGAATGCCGAAGACGTGGGTTCGATTCCCACAGCGGCGACAATCTTTTCGTACTTTTTCTACATTTTTTCTACATGTTTTAATGTTCAATCTTAGGTGCAGAGATTAGCACTATAAAAAACTTTAAAATTTATAAAAAGCAATAGCGACATCTCTCGTTCGAATTATCGTTGTAAAACGATATTCGAAATTGTTTGTATGCTGGAAAGGATATAACAATAGATGCGCCAAGCATTGCTTCAAATTCTAAATAACAATGTAGAAAGAAGGCGTTAAGATTTTCGTCGCTGTGGCTATTTTAGCTCAGTGGCTAAAGGAATAAGACGTGGGTTCGATTCCCACAATAGATACTTTTCGTACTTTTTCTACATTTTTTCTACATGTTTTAATGTTCAATCTTAGCAGAGATTAGCACTATAAAAAACTTTAAAATTTATAAAAAGCAATGGCGACATCTCTCGTTCGAATTATCGTTGTAAAACGATATTCGAAATTGTTTGTATGCTGGAAAGGATATAACAATAGATTCGCCAAGCATTGCTTCAAATGCTAAATAACAATGTAGAAAGAAGGCGTTAAGATTTTCGTCGCTGTGGCTATCAGCCGTTTAGCTCAGTGGCTAGAGCGTCAGGCCGCGAATGCCGAAGACGTGGGTTCGATTCCCACAGCGGCGACAATCTTTTCGTACTTTTTCTACATGTTTTAAAGACAAACGTGTCAAAGCAAGAGCTGTTCGAACTGTAGTCATATCCAAAGAATAAAGAAAACCCCCATCTATTTTTGTTTTTAAACCCATTAAAAATATACACGTAATAGACTTCACAACTTGAAACCTACGCAACACAGCAACGTCGGTTATCGGTCCTACGAAATTATTGTTGGCTTATATTTAATTATTAATTCAAGATAGAAAAGTAAGACAATAGTGTACTATTGAAAAATTATGAGGGATGAGACGCAAACTCATTTTTTTTTGCAGTATCATTTAAAGTATTAAACTCGTTAATGAGTGGATTGGTGTCTTAAAGTCTTTAAAACCGAAATTCTGTTTCAACCGAGTTTAATCTAATTGCTAATTGAGATCTCTGAGTACCGGCTTTAATTCACGTTCACGAATATCCAAGGTTCGCGGCGCAAACGGCGCGTCCTTTGCCCGTCCGCGCGGAGCCCAAAACGGGCCCGATTAGATCGCCTCCGAGAACTGCCCATAAATCCACCCCGAAACAACCGCTCTGTTTAGTTTGGACGCGCCGTCCCAGTAATTATACAATAATTCATACTTTAATAAACACTAATAAATCGTCCCCGCACCGCCGTCGCCGCACCGCATTATCGGCCGTTATTACACGATGTAATTACATCCAATAAATTACCAAATAATACATCAATCAGATGTGTTATAATTTCGTTATCATTTTTTTCTTTCTGTTATCCCCCTCAGCCTGCGTATTATGCTATCGGGCGGCGGGCAATTTTATTAAAATTATAACGCGATGCACGCCGTATAATTTGGGGTCGCTCCGGGCTAACTTGGCCTCTAATTATATACGTAATGTTTAATGATACATTCCCGTAATAAGCTACCTGATTCACTACGGGCATAAATCAAATATTTCATTAAAACTCTTGGCGGCCGCAACCCCGCATTCGGATGCTGTTATTAGGAGCTGATAGGGTTCCTCGCGGAATCGTCTTAAAAAGCCGGTGTCCGTTTTTACGGGGATTTCTGGCGACTTTGATGAATGGGATCGATTCGCATTGTTCCCGCGAAGCCGGGTCGTTTGCATAGTTAATTCGAATCGGGCACGGGATGAGGTTGATAAACGCCACGAGAACATTCGTTCACCAATTTTCTTTCGCCTTCAGTGCGGCGATAACTATGGCAAAGTACATTTTACGAAGATACGTCGCATGTGCCTTGATAGCTCTGTGTTCGGGGGCTCGCTTTTGATTCAATATTTTTTTTTTATCGACAAACAAACGACAATAAAATGTTCACAAAGATGCGCAAAAGTTAATTTACCAAAATATAGTCGAACGACCTAAATTCAAATACTGATTTCGGCACCAATGCCGTTGTTAGTTGCAATTTTAATCGCTGATTCATTATGTCGTCAACTTCTCAATTTGTATATTTTCGAAATAACCATGAAACTTCCCTTATCTTCGAAATGCTATTTAAGTCGCGTCTTCCCAGCAGTGGGATATATATATTCAAGTTAAATTTTAAGGTTAGTTTCTATAAGT